TGTGTGTGTGTGTGTGTGTGTGTGTGTGTGTGTGTGTGTGATGGGGGGGGTCCACCTAGCGTATGCCACAGCTCCCATGTGGAGGAGGATGCAGGACAACTTTCAAGACCTGGTTCTCTCTTTCCACTGTCCTGGGATCCTCAGGTCTTTTTTTTTTTTTAATGATTTATTTTTATTTCATGTGTTTTGCTGTATGTATGTGAGGGTGTAGGATCCCCTGGAACTGGAGTTACAGACAATTGTGAGCTGTCACGTGAGTGCTGGGAACTGAACCCAGGTCCTCTTGAAGAGCAGCCAGTGATCTTAACCACTGAACCATCTCGCCAGGTCCTGATCCTCAGGTCTTTAGGCTAGGTGACAAATGCTCTTACTGCTGAACAGTCTCTCAGGCAGGCCCCTTTGACACAGGGCCTGTTATGACACTGTCATGAGTGTAGGGTTGCTCAGAGGTTCACCGTGACCATAAATAAATTTTAATAAAAAGAGGCTTTTTATTTAGTTACTGGTGTTCAAGAACGCTCCCAAGATGCAGCCCCTAGCCACATCAGCCCAAGGCTTACAAAGGCAAAAACTACAAGATTACATGTAGACAGGCTCTAATTTTAACATATATGTCTTACAGTTGCCTTAGTCATCTTTTTTAGCAGAGAAAGCAAGTTTGATTACAAAAGCCAAAATAGCAGTTAGTTTTATGACCATCTATCTTGCTATTACAGTCAACTTAAGGATAGTCTTCATGTCTGAGAAAAAGGAAAGTGGGTGGCTAGTGTACAACCTGCGAGTGAGAGACTTACATGTTAGAGACATTTTTTGCTTTTTGGTCTCTCAGGGATACTAAGTCTAAATTTTAAATATAATGTTAACCATCATCACACCTCCTTGAGTTACCCTGATGGCCTTGAATAGTGTTTAGTGTTTAGGCTCTCCTGAGATCGAAGATCACAGGCCTGAAACACCAGGCTCAGTTTGTACTTTTTTGTTTGTTCAGTTTTTTGTTTTTTTTTTTGCGGGGGGAGGGGGGTTTCGAGACAGGGTTTCTCTGTAGCTTTGGAGGCTGTCCTGGAACTCTGTGTTTGTTTGTGTTTTGATCGTTTTTGTTTTTTGGTTTTTTTAAAGATTTTATTTATTTATTGTGTATCCAGTCCTCTGCCTGCATGCAGCAGAGGGCACCAGATCTCATTCAAGGTTGTTGTGAGCCACCATGTGGTTGCTGGGAATTGAACGCAGGACCTCTGGAAGAACAGTCAGTGCTCTTAACCGCTGAGCCATCTTGCCAGCCTGCTTTTTTTTTTAATAGGTTTCTTTTTTTTTCATGATTCTTTTTTAATATTTATTTATTTATTTAAAATGTATACAGTACTTGCTTGTATATATCTCTGCAGGCCAGAGGAGGGTACCATATCTCATTACAGATGGTACCAGATCTCATTCAAGGTTGTTGTGAGCCACCATGTGGTTGCTGGGATTGAACTCAGAACCTCTGGAAGAGCAGGCAGTGCTCTTAACCTCTGAGCTATCTCTCCAGCCCCTGTTTGTTTGTTTTTAAATAGTCTTTTATACCCTGCTAGATTTTTCTTCAAATTTGCTATGTAGTGGAGGATGACCTTGAAATACCGAATCCATATATTTTTTAGAGATTTTATTTATTTATTTATTTATTTATTATGTATACAATATTCTGCTTCCATGTATATCTGCACACCAGAAAAGGGCACCAGATCTCATTATAGATAGTTGTGAGCCACCATGTGGTTGCTGGGAATTGAACTCAGGACCTCTGGAAGAGCAGCTGGTGCTCTTAACCTCTGAGCCATCTCTCCAGCCCCCGAATCCATATTTTTTTAATGATTTATTTTTATGTGCATCAAAGTTAAGTCTGTTTTAGGGCACAGGATCCCCTGGAGGTGTAGTTACAGAGTTGTGAGATGCCATGTGGGTACTGGGAATTTAACCCAGCTCCTCTAGAGGAACAGCCAATGCTCTTAACTGATGAGCTGTTAAGGGCCATGGGCCCTAAACTATGGGGTTTAAAAGCCCATCTTTGTAAATCCTTTTATGACCTTTAAGTGAGCCTCATGTGACCCATAATTAGATAAGTTTGGCCAAGAGGGACTACTAATGACTGCGTTCTGAGAAAAGGCGTGGGCCTTTCTGCCTGCTGTTTAGAAGATACCGCAAGAATGTCCCAGCCCCAGCAAATACAAGACGTTCCTTCCTGCTATCCCCACCGCTTGCCTAATTTCCTTGTTGCAGGGCTATATAAGCCCACTCTGAGCCCCAATAAATGGAGACCTTGACAATTGCACAGATGGACTCTGGTCCCCTCTTTTGCTCACTTGGTCTCCTTCTCTTCTCTCGCCCATGACTCTTTCAGGCAGCCCCCCTTCGGAACCCTGAATGACTGATCCGAGGGACGGGTCAAGTGGCGCCCGAACAGGGGAGTACGGTCAGCTGTCGGATGGCGGAAAGACAGCCCGGGACAAAGAGGATCCTGCAGACGGCCAGACTCGAGCCCTCTCCAGGTGGAGGTAAAGTACCAATCATTGCTGTCCCAATGCCATGGGCCGTGTTATGGGTAAAGAATTGAAATTCATAAGAGAAGTTAGGTAGCCCGCAGGGAGAAAGGAGTAAGAGTTAAAAAGAAAGATAAAAAGGAGTAAGAGTTAAAAAGGAGAAGATAAAAAGAAATGAGTCAAAAAGAAAGATTTAGTTCATTTTTTCTGTTTTATTGATAAAGCTTGTCTATGGTTGATTTTAACGGGACCAGACATAGCTCCCCAGACCTGGGAAAAGGTTGGGAGAGTTACTTCGCCCACAGCGAGAAATGCTGCTGGCAGCATTTCTTAGAGGCAGTCAAGCTTGGGGGCTGCAACTTACAGCCTTGGGAGATGCCGCCATGGTTGATGGCTGATTAATGTATATAAATGCTATTGAAACAGCCAGACTGTTTTTGAGACTTATAGAAAAGAAAAGGCAACATATTTAAGCTTAGAATTGTTCAAATTTTGGATGCTCATATTTCAATGATTGACTATAAGCTACTATGTTAGAAATTTCAATTAGGGATTTTTCTTTTCTACAAGCTGATCATAACCTAGGCAAAAGGAGAAATGTGAGACGTATGCAAGTTATGAATGAACGGTGTGGCCACACCTGGATGCATGATGTGATTGTGAATTTATGAATGCAGATGAATGGAAATGCCTAAATTGCCTTGGATATGATTAGAGATATTTATATTGCCTCAGATATAGTTTAAAAAATATCAAAATCACTTTAATATGGTCAAAAAGAGCATCCAGTCAGTCAGTCAATGTCTTAACAGGAGAAATTATGATTTGAGCCCTAG